TGCACCCAAAACCCTTGAACAGCAATTTGTCCACTACCGGTCTATATCTTTAAGAGGTGGGCTGTATTTCAAACAGAAATCGCCAAATTATTAATTAATGTTATTAATTTATACTAAGTATGCAACTTATATACAACCCTCTCTCACTCTGTCTATATCGTTATTATTCCAGTTAGTGATATCAATTTTGATTACATACTTGCTGTGATAAATAAAGTGTGTTTACACAAGTAATATAATTATGTGCTTTGTACTCTTCATTTATGTTCTATGCTACAGACACTGTTATGGTAAAACGTAAAGTCTACAGTCGACCCCCCTTTAAACGACAAAATTGGGGAGCAAAACATATTTTTAGCCCCCCCCCCCTCCAGAATAAGCCCCACCCCCTCCGAAAAAAATCTGTAGTAAAGGAGTAAAAAATGATTTTTCAACCAAAAAGAAAAAAAAATAATGAAACATGAATTGAATCAAAACAAAAATAATATTCCTTTTAAGAAAAGGAAAAAGTTGTTAAATTTCCTTAACATTCCGCATGCCCCTATATTCATCAACGGTGGATTTGATAATAGCGATACGTGTATATTGTGGAAATATTGTGAGAGGATGGGAAAGCGTGTGTGTTTTGATTATATGGGTGAGAAGAAATGAGCCCCCTCCCCCATACAATTCAAACGTGGTTTATTTCTAATTCGATGCCTCCAGTGATTTACAAATGTTGCTAAAATGACATGATTTTCCAGGATTTTTTTCACAATTATTTTAATAAATTATAATTGTATAAGTGTTTGTTGGAAAACTACAACTTCTCAAATTTACAGTCGGGCAAAAATATGCTTATTTAGAAGCCTGGGGTAGTGAGCACAATTTTTTTTTTTGGTCCTCGAAAATTTTAAAATTTGCACCCCCCCCCCCTTGAGCGCCAGGGGGGGGGCCCAACCCCCCAAAAAGGTAAAAATTGCGTGATTTTGCATGGTTTTTTTCTCAAGGGGGGGGGGGCCCGGGCCCCCCGGGCCCCCCTGGATCCGCCACTGCATGCGTGTTCCCAAACTCTCCGGCTCGTAACAAAAGAAAAAGGTCTACCACTTTATACACCGAACTTTTGCTGAAAAGGGGGCCGGGTCGCTGGGAACACGCATATGTGTACCCTAAATAACACTGAGAGGGGGGGGGGGGGGGGGGGTAAGAGGAGAGAAAGTGAAAGAAGAAAAAAAGAGAAGGAAGAAAGGTAGGGGAGATCAATTGCGATTTTCCTGCCAACAAGGTGTAGATCGGGGGGGGGGGGGGCTTGGGAGGAAATACAATTCAAACGCGGTTTATTTTTAATTCCATAATGGTGATTTACAAATGTGGCTGAAATGACATAATTTTCCGAGATTTTTTCTCACTTTTAGTAAATTATTCTTTTGTATGCGTTTGTTGGAAAATGACAAATTGCTAAATTTACATTCAGGCAAGAAATATGCTTATTGAGATGCCTAAATGTCAGGGCCTGCGAAATGACGGGGATCGGGAGCCTCGAACCCCCCCCCCCCCCCCCATATTGCTCCGGTTGTCTCATTTTCGCTCGCTGGACGTATATAGCAGACGACAATCGGCGGATCAGATGACAGTTGGTAGTGGATTTGCATGTATGTGAGATTGCTTTGCTAAATATAAAATACAAGAACATTTTCCATATCTATCATTGATATCTGCATATAAAACAGTTATTAAAATAAACCTACCAAACTACATAATACAATGAAATACTTGACTTAAAGTAGGGGGGTTTGATGTGGGCACCCCTCTGTTAATAATCGAATAGTCCATGGTGTTCATGAATATTCATGTTTTTGCTTACCTCGGCAAAATGTTTGCCTATCCTCAATGGAAAAATTACGGTGGGGACTTGGATGAAATGGACATGAACCGATCAGAACTGATCTATTATAATTCATGCTTCTTATCCTTCGTGTGCTTGACCTAAAACCTTACGATCGCTTGGCAAACTGAGTCCAAAGTTCGACTTGTTTCACTTGTGTAGTATATAGGCAATGGCAAGCTTGCAACCTATTTTGATCAGATTACGGTGGGTGAACTTTCAAAAGTCAATGGGACATGAGGGTTCCAATGAAAGAGCTAGTGATAACGTACGTCGGGGTGGATGCGCTTTTCGTTTAAACAAAAATGAATTTCTAACGATTTGTTGGTAAAATTCCATAGGCTTACATTTTAGGCTGCTGACTCTAACGATAGGGGGCGTTGTCAAATGAGACTAAACGGAACTATATTGTATTACATACTGTGATAATTCTTTTGTAATGTGAATTTTATGAGAACAGAAATCTCCGGAACAGCTAGTTGCATGTAGTGTGGGTGTGTGTTGTATGTGTGTTTATGTGTGTGAAAGGGGGGGGGGGTAGTGTGGGTGGGCTAGAGGGGGGGGGGGTGGCATGAGTTTGTTGGTGTGTGACAGGATGGTACTATACTTTAAACCTTCCTCTACTGTTATTTTGATTATACACTGTTATATGCAAGAAAAAATGTAGAATCATGTAGAATCTGAGATTTTTTTTAATGTTTATTGATTGATGTAACTCATGAAGTGTCTTGTATCAAAGATCTTGTTTTATATTGCTTATTTTGATAATTTCTTGTTATGTGAATTTTTTGTTATAGGGAAATTATAAGGAAGGAAATAAAATATCATTTAAAACAAAAATATGAACTTTTTTTGAAAAGGTATATTACAGAGAAATAGAAAGAAAGAAAAAATAGTGAACTGCCAGTGTCACAAAATAATGAGGTATCAAAATATGCTCATCTGACGGTAATTTAATGCCTAAAACCCCTGAAATTCAGGGGCTCCGTCCCTGGATTCCACGCCAAATATAGTGTCCTGCCAGTGTCACAAAATAACAAGGTATCAAAAAATGCTCATCTGACCGTAATTTAATGCCTAAAACCCCTGAGTTTCCGGGGGCTTCGCCCCCTCGATTCCACCAGGGGCCTCAAGGCTGGCCCCTGAATGTTTATGATAATGCTTATGAAATATCTGACCGTGATTTATTGCCTTAAACCTCTGAGCTTCCGTGGACAAGGCATCTAAATATGATCATCTGACCGCAGGCGCGTAGCCAGGGGAGGGGGGGGGGGGTGGCGGTCGCCCCCAAAACGCCGACCACAAAGAAAAAGAAAGAGAGGAGAAAAAAGGAAGAGAACGTAGGAAGGAAAAGGAGCAGACAAAGAACATTTTTGAAATTCAGACAAGGATTAAGAGTGGAGAACGGTAAAACGAATCGAATCGTCTTCTTCCTCTATAATGGAACGTCAAAGCTTCCGTGTTTCGCGCAGGAAGGGGGAGTGGATCTAAATTCAGACAAGGATTAAGAATCAAGAACGGTACAACGAATAGTCTAGCTTCTTTCTCTAATAATTTAATGAAACGTCAATGCTTCAGCGCTTCGCGCAGGAAGGAGGGGGGGGGGGCTGAATTCAGTCAAGGATCGAGTCAAAAACGGTACAACGAATCGTCTTCTTTCTCTAATAATTTAATGAAACGTCAAAGCTTCGCAGGAGGGGGGGGGGGGCTGAATTCAGACAAGGATTAAGAGTCGAGAACGGTACAACGAATAGTCTTCTTTCTCAAATAATTTAATGAAACGTCAACGCTTCCGCGCTTCGCGTAGGAGAAGGGAAAAACTCGCCCCTTCCTGCACCCCTAGGTAGTGCTCACTACCGCCCCCCTAAAATGAAAAATTCTAGCTACACGCTTGTCTAACCGTAATTAAACGCCTAGAACCCCTGAGCTTACGGGGGCTCCGCCCCCCTGGACCGCACGCCAATTAGTGACCTGCCAGTGTCACAAATAAGGTATCAAAATATGCTTATCTGACCGTAAATTAATGCCTAAAACCGGGGCTTCCCCCCTAGACCCCACGCCAATTTACGCTACGTTCTACCTGATCGTAAATACTTTAGCCTCCCCCCCCCCCACCAAATTTGAAGAACGTTCAGCGGGGCCTGCATGTGAGAGAATGTGGTGAAACGGATTTTTTTTTTGTCTGCCTCCCAAACGTTTTTGCTCAATACGTCACCGCTGGTCACCATTACGTATGAATATTTGGCTCGCATAATTTCAAATTTGGCCCCCCCCCCCCAAGAAATCCTGGAACCGCGACTAATTGCCACTACCAGTGCCACACAAACTAAGCACACCTTGTTTCTACGAAAGATTGTATCATAATATACAACATTTCAGAGGAGTTTAAAAACAAATTATTTGTAGTGATCAGGCCCCGAAAACGGAGGGGGCGTCCAAAAGCGGACCTTATAATTATGAATGAAAAAAATAGTATTTTGTAAATAATATTTGATGAGAACCTTGAACCATCACGAGACCAACAATGTAGGCCCCTTAAATTATGTGGAAGATGTCGTTTGTGACGAATTCAAGTCAATAACTTTTCACTGAAACGAGATATAAGCCTCTCCTTCGCACAATATATTGTCTTTGTATATTGGCAAATTCCTGGAAAGTTATGAAAAATGATATTTCTCCCGATTTTGATATTTGGAAAATAAGTGTTTTATCCAAATTTTAAAAAAAATCCAAAAAAAAAAATCATGTTTTAACTCAAAATTGTGATGTTAATTCATTCCAATCATATTGAAATTGGAAAAAAAAGTGTAGAAAATTTGATTTTCTTTCATATGTCACCAAACTCAATAGTTCTCGTAAAATATTAATATTTACAACGTATACTATTTTTTCTCCATAATTAAAACTGGGGCGCTTTCTGCACGCACTTCCATTTCGGGTGATCGTTACAAATTAAAACAAAAAATACCTTTGAAATATTGTGTATTATGGTATGATTTATCGAAGAAAAAATGTGTTTAGTTTGTGCGGCAGTGGCAACCCACTCAAAAACTATATTTATAGGCATGATATATATTTGCCGGGTATATATTGACTTCGGCCCTCCGCTTTATCATTTATTAATTTTTTTATAGGCGTGACGTCTGTGTCATCATGGCGGCTGCTGCTGCTCTGCGGGCTGTGAGGTTGGAGGGTGTTAAAGATGGTATTGCACTCATCAAGATGATCAAAGGAGACAATAGAATGAATATGCCGTTTTTGAATAGTATGGGGAAAGCGCTCGACGAAGTAGAAAGGTAAACGAGATATTTCTAGTGATCTAGATCTGGATCAAAAGAGCGCGAAGATGGGGCAGGGGGAGGTCGGGATCGGGAGACATTTGATGTAGTATATGTATAATGTATAATCATGTACCTACAAAGCTTTCGTGCAGTAGACTTGAAGTGACTTGGTAACATTGTTGAAGGTTGACGAAAAAACTGGGTAATTTTTGTTTGAAAAGTTATTTATTATATTCCTTCGACTGTAACCCTCTAACATGCAAAAAATCCTGAAAAAATTCTCAGACCACAAAGATATTTATGGTTTTCTTTGAAAACATAACTGTGCGTCCCCCTCTAAAGTAAATTTTCCCAACCATTTTCGAATTATCCCAACCGTTTGTCCACGAAAATAAGACATAAGGCAGGCTCTTAAAAGTCTTTCAACACTTCGATGTCTTGAATGGTATATATAGAGCCAATTCGTTGCTTTGTGACGATTTATATTCACCTAAAATGTAATTAAATTGTAATAATATAGTTGGGAGAATTAAGGAATCGAACAGATTAGTTTTCCCCCAAAGTTATCATTAATAATGTTTTTTTACTTTCAGATTATCTTTAAGTACATCTAGCATTGAAATCACTATTATGTACCTTATACTACCTTTGCACCATATTCTCTCATCGGAACAATGTTACCAAGTCCCTTTAATTGTTTGTGTATTAGCTGGGATTGGCCCAAGGTAGGTCATGCATTTAGAGAGGAATTTAAATATTTGAAATGAGATTTTCAAATTGAAAAAGTTCTACACTATAACGACATGATATGAATCAATTATCATATCAATGATTTATCTACAATTTTGTCTCATTTTGATGATTTGACCCTAGAAATGATGACGTAAGAGGTGTGATCTTCACTGGTGAAGGAAAGTTCTTTAGCTATGGAGTGGACCTACCATGGGTCGCTCAACAAACTTTGGACATGACTGACAAATTTATTTGTGAAAGTGATGCCCTCACAGAGAGAGTTGCATCATTTCCAATGCCAACCATTGCAGCTATGAACGGTAAAATGATCTTGATCATAATTATCATGATATTGACTAAGCAAAACAAACCATAAAGCCTAATGAATTGAAAGAATCACATATATGTTGTCATATTTGAATTGGCCATATTTCTAACTTTAAAAAAAAAATTAAAAGAAATACAGTCAAACCTGTCTATAGCGACCACCCAAGGGAAACACAAAAAGTGGCCTTTGTAGACAGGTGGTCTTTGTAGACAGGTCCCTTTAGTACATGATTCAATGAGAAACCATTTTCAAGGGAAACAACAAATGTGGCCTTTGTAGAAAGGTGGTCTTTGTAGACAGGTGGTCACTAAAGCAGGTTTGACTGTATTACTGAATGAATTCATAATAATTAACATTATATGCAGATCTTATATTCTTAAAAAACAACAGGATTTCATTAATACATCCTTCTGATCAAATTGATATTTTATCATAAACAGGGGCTGTCCAAAGGGCAGAATAAATATGTTGCTCTCATTAAATTGGCCACATTTATTTTCTTCATTGATACATTCTTCCAAGAAGCTAGTAGCATGATTATCATTACATTTTTGTTTCACCAATCAAAATAATAATTTTGATATGATAGATATTGTGAGATATTATATGATATTGTGAGATATAAATGATAAGGTATTGTGTCAAGAGACAAATAAAACTATGAATTGAATATTAATTTCGATTGGGAGCAGTATAAGTCAGTTTAATATAGTCAGCACAAGAGTGATGTTCATGGCATTGTACAATGAATTAATTTTATGTGTTTAATTGGTGACCCGACATTTGCTCCTATCATTACTTTGGGCATTTGCAATTGGGTTATATGATAGGTATTTAGGGTAAGGGTTATGTATAGTGTTGGGTCCGGATATGAAGTTAAGAATATGATTAGTGTTGGATACAACCATTAGTTGTATCACATACCATTCTCAGCTCATTAATCAAGAGTGGAATGGTTTATTGAGTATGATGAAAAAAAAGTTTCCTGAGAAATGAGAATTGCATCCTTGCTGTGTGTTTCTGCAGGTCATGCCTTTGGAATGGGTGCCATCCTCGCATTGGCTTGTGATTACAGGGTGATGGGGAAAGGGCGTGGCTGGTTCTGTTTTCCGGAGCTTACAGTTCCTGTATCTTTTTCTCCTACTACCCTGGAAATGATCAGGTAAGCATGCATCTTCTATAATCATGTTCACCGAGACGATGTAAGACATTCAGATAATACTTGAAAATGAATGCATCGACCTCATAACATTTGGACTTATTAATAAGTTTCATTGTCATGAGAATATATATATATATATATATATATATATATACTTCTGTGGAGGTTTATATAATTGATTATTGTGAAAGGAAATAAGAGAGATTTGTGCAGTTTAGACAGTAATTGAATTAATATTTTTCGCATTTGACAATATCTTTATGAACTTATGAAGTGTATTAGTGTTTTTATGATTTAACTGTAAGAAACTTTCCTTTACTTATCGTTTTCTACATTCTTTCTCTCTCTCTCTCTCACCCTCTCTTTCTCTCTCTCTCCTATCTCTACCCATATCTCTCTCTCTTTCTTCATTTATCTGTTTCTTGATGACCTTCATTGCTTGCAGAAAGTGAGTAATCCATTTAAGCTACCCATATTTATTTTGTAATCGTTCATCATTTCATTAAAAAAAAAAATCAGACTAAAGTTACACAGAGTACAAGTTGTGCGGGATGCAGCTATATTCAGCAAACGCTACACAGCAGAAGAAGCTTTGGGAGCAGACATAGTAGATGAGGCAGTGGATGAGAATCAAGTCATGGAGGCAGCTATTCGCTATGGTAACAAGTTAGGTAAGAACACAGTAGTATTATTATTACCCAGGTAACTAGATTCCCGGCCCCCCACTCAGTGTTATTTAGGGTACGCGTATGCTCTTTCCCTCTTTTTGAAAGCACCCCCTATCTGAGGACTGCCAACATTTCCGAACCCCCTTTCTACCTTGGAGACCCCCCTAAATACGGAAAAATGCTCAATGTACCCCCCTAAATTCGGAATAAATACTCAGGAGTCCGAAGAGATGAGAGCAAAAAAAAGAAAAACACCCCCTTTTTAAAGAAATCTCTGGGTAAAAAGTCAAATACACCCCTTTTTTTTACAATTCTTGGGCCGGACTTTGTCGCACGAAAAGTACCCCTTTACCGGACATTTTGGTAACACGCATGCGGTCATTCCGACCCCAGAGTGGGGGGGGGGGGGGCCGGGACTAGATTCCATTACCTTTGTGCAAGTCAAAGTGTGCATTCTCCACTCCTAAGGAGAGTATTCCAGCCAGTTGCCAAATAACAATTTCATTCTAATGGTAATCCAACCACAATGATATATCTGCATCCTATTTAGCTCATGGGTGGAGAGGCGCAATGTCGCTGAAATGACTTGCCCCAAGGCATTTGAGTGCCTTTGCATTCCCATTATTTGTAATGTAAATTAGAGTACAGAAGTTAATAAAAGTGACAAGATTGCATATATTATGTTCTCTATAACATGTTGTTGTCTCATGTAAACTGCAGGTGAGAAACTGGACAGACGTTGTGTGCATACCACAAAGGACCAGCTTTATGGTGCCCCCCTCAGGTCGATAAGAGATGCACATCTTCAGAGAGAGACAGAAAAAGACAAGAATGACAGGCTCGAAGATTTCAAACGAGGGGCTCAACTCCATGCATCAAACATGTAAAATCATTCAAAACAGCTGCCAAATCATGTCGAATTGACTTGTAACATTTAACATTATTATGTGACTTTATTCTGAAGAAGTGACCAAGAATGGCATGCCAATTAATACCTTCATCACGCACTGATCTGATGGTGATTATGAAGATAAAGCATGAACTAAATCTGCTCTTGAATGAGAGATTCGAGGAGCACTCCTGGAGTTTCTTGATATAGCAAGAACAAATGTTGACCATATAACATTTGGACAGAATTGATATGGATGCATCTACACTATACTCTTTGAAAGATTTGTTGTGATATATATCTATGTAACATATGTTTTATGGACCTCTACCTTGTGCAGCTGACTCTGAAATAAAGTTCTGAACTGAATTGATTTCATAAATGAGTATTCTGAAAAACTTAGTTTTGCATTTGACTCACTCTAAGATGACTTTGTTTAATATATAAGGAGAATGATGTGGGAATATTGCAATATTGCCTTAGACAATGTTGGTATTTTATATTTGCAAGGAGAGATTCTCTGATTCAACATGTTATTTCTCAAAAATACAGGCATTCACACTTTACCAAGTTAGACTGTCAGTTCTAACGGTATACCCTTGCAGATTGTACTTAGAAAATGAAAATGAAGCGAACTAATTTTGCTCTTTTGACTTTTTATCAACTGTTTGCATAACCTGCAAAGGCAGCAAAGGTGAACCTATCTTTATACAAAGCAATCAGGGTGGAGTGTTTATTTTGTCTGTACTTTTACAACCCTTGAGGGAGAGAGCTCCTCCTAGTCTCGTTTGCTTCATTTGATGACAAAGGTTACAAAAAACTAAAATGGAAGTGACATTGTAAATGTGTTGAATCATCCGTCCATTGATTGATCCTTTCCATAGATTCTCATCTTCATAAAAAAAAAAGTTGAATAATTCATCTTTAAACAATTGGTCAGCTTGTGATTTTAAAATACATGCCTGATACTTGTTAATTGTAATAAAATGCCTTGTGATGCTGAAAACTTGCATATATTTTAGACATGTAATTCAGATGATAGTGCCATGTGTACAGAATGAACTGTGAACTGTAAATAATGTTTTAAAAAAGAAAACATTTTAATAATCAACATGTTCAAATTGCACAGCTTTGTAAATTCTTTAAAAATCTGACTTGTAAATATATTGATCATTCATTAAAATACATCCAAGTAATAAAGCAGAAATGAAAGATACACACAGAGCGTGATATACACATTATATGCCTCTTTTATTTACATTGTACATATTCATGTTTTAAGATTCCTCTATATAATTCACCACTTTGATTAATGTTGAGAGGATTTGAGTGAGCTCAGCAACCTCAGTTTAGATGAGCAATCATATCAATAATGAAGAAAAATAATATCCAGTGATATCGTGTAGAAATAATACAGTTTAAATCTTTACTCCTTATGCAGTGTCAAAACAGGCAGTGCATGACTCAATCTCTTAGAAATTTTGAGTGGATTTGAGTAAATGAAAGTCCATGAATTTGGAACAAACATTCTGTTGAAAGGAAAGGTTCAATATGCATTTAGTTTTGGGAAGGGTACAGTACATTCAAATTTACATGAAAGCATGTAACAAATTAACAGACTAGTTTGTTTGAAGAATTCATAGATTTGAACATTGAAACCACTAAAGACAATGATAACCATTATCAATCATTCATTTAGCTACTAGATCTATTTCTGGAGGAGAAGACCAAAGTACAGTTTAAATATCCAGTTTATCAAAGTGGAAAAGATAATAAATGTACAATATCAGATTCATGACTCGGATCAGCATATACAGTACAGATGACAAGATTTTTCTTGTGTAAATATTTGTGCAACATCAGAGTATGCCTATATCAACATATCTCTAATAAATGGCATTGGAATACATGTATACGTTATACTCAAAGGTGGACCCAGGAGGGTGGGGGGGGGGGGGGGAGGGGGCTTATGCTCTATGGCAAAACCGTCTAATCATGCATAACTTGAATATGCATTAATTCTTGCTATCGCCAATACCCCAAAATGCCCAGATGTTAGGCGAGGCGTCAAAAATATCGATACCAGCAGGCCGCCGCCTCACGTATTGGCGCATCGAGGCTGCAATTACGGCCGAAGCCTGGCTGGGGCAATTATTTTTCACTTATTAGCCCAGCCGGCTTGCGCCAGGCTGGGATCTGAGGCTCGGTTTCCATTCAAAAGGCGGCAGCCGGCGCATGCTTTTGAATGCCATTTTCTACCGTCAGCGGTAGCCGGCTGAGCTAATTTAAAAAATGCAGTCAGGACGCACAAGTGCAGTTAGCTGCCGCTGGCTGGTATATTTATTTTTGACGCCTCGCCTTACATGACGCTCCAATTTTAAATGCACTCTGGGATAGTTTGGTGACTTTAATAGTCCCTTCAGGTCTATTTTGTGCAGCTGTACCGTGCCGTTCAGTATCAGAGCTGCACAGCGCGGCAGCCGGTAGTCACCAAGCAAGCCGTCTATAACCATTGCAATAGTTGGATGGTGGCAGGTGCGGATCCACAGGGAGGGGGGGGGGGCTGGCAAAAAAAAACAGTTAAAAAAAAAGATAACGTAAATTTTACCTTTTTAAAACAAAAAATGAAAATGCCCTTCCCCCCTCGGCGAAAAAAAAAGAAGTAAATTTGTGTTTGTTGTTGTTGTAAGGGGGGGGGGGGGGTGCAATAAAGGAGTGTTTACATGCACCCTCCCCCCCCCCCCATTAAGCATAAAATGAATTATGGTTCCCCCCCCCCCCCCAACTGAGAGAAATATTGGTCGGCGCAATCTTAAAATTTCTGGGGGCAAAATTATTAATTTTTTTTAGTGCCCACACCCCCCCCCCCCCTCAGACATCAACTCCATGTAGCAAACTTCTTTGGCATTCCATTTTGGTCTGGAAGACTCAGTTCCAGGTCTGTCACTACCTGTGGTCCTACCTTGGAGTGAATGATGTATTTCAGAGCTCCAGGATTCGGGTCTCGCTTCATGGCATCTGTGCAGAAAACAATTTAATTAATATAGTTCTTTATTCTTCTACCTTGGCAAAACATTGGGTAACATAAACAGATCTAGAAGAATCCATTAGTCTACGCATGGAGTTCTTTATCTCAACAATCCTATTCGGATGGATTCTTTTCAATTTGATGTACGGTAATGTAAGTTTCTAATTCAGTCTGGTGTAAGTCTCTTTGGTGTGGCTGAGGTATTAGTAATCAGTTTATCTTTGATGTTCGATGTGATAGATTGTGAACTCCATAGAAGCCAGAAACTTTAAATATCTCTAACTGTGTGAAACTAACTTGAGGAGTATCTAAATTATATAAACCTTTTGAATACAGTAATACGTACACCCTTATATTAATTCAAAAAATGGGTTCAAGAATGTAGGCAAACTAATTCATCAAATTAGACTGTGTGACTGTGCATCAGGCTTTTCTACCATGCCTACCTTGCAAAAACATTCCCACGGCCTAAGATGCACCTATGCGTATCTTTGGCGTGTACAAGATCAAGATCAAGATATATATATATAGTTCAAGAGTACTAACCT